GGGGCCGTACAAGTTTATTTGGGGGAGGTGTGTTCCCTGCGTACCACCTAGATACGGCACCACAGCCGGAATCAACTTACCGTCTGTACAGTAGCATATCGCACAACACCATCATCATCCTGCTCCTTCCAGATTTCACAAACTATTTTGGCGCCTCGCTCTCTAGCTTTCTGAAAAAAAAGAAATAAAAAACAGACAAAGGTAAAATAATCAATACAAAAACCTAGAGTATGTTTAATCTGAATGTGCGATAGATACATTTTCAATAAACAGGGAGCAACTGGGTCTACTTTAGGTCCAATCTAGTTCATATTCTTTGTAAAAATGAAATTTAAATATTGTTTTAGAATCACAACTCAACAAAAACACAGTAAAGTATGATTGATGCCAACTTTTAAAAGTTGCCTACCAGTACTATTCAAGTACTAGCACAAAAAAACATTAGCATTATATTTAAGCACTGCCCTTATGAAAACAGGGCACGTCTATGAATTAAGATAGACACAAAAGCCTACTGCTTAAAGTTTCATTCTGGTATGTATGACTGTTATTAGAATAGTTACTATATAGTATAGAATGCCTTTCTAGTATAATGATAAGAAAAAAATGTTCAAAAAAATAATAACAGCACATTTTTACTACTTAAACGATAAGAGATGAACTTTTTTTATTCTCTTTTTTTAAAATGTGATATTTAATGTTTATAAATTTTAAAATTTTAACCCTTGTGTACTCCTTTCACATATGATATATATTGAATTTTGTTTTATGTCAAGAGGTTCCCGCTTTTGTGTCGGGCCCTGGGTCCATGGTTTCCTCTTGAGCATCTGTATGTCAAATTAGTAATACATAAATAAATAAATAAATACAGCACTGCAGAATCGATAGAATAAATCTGATATTTCATAATTATTTGTAGTTTTGTATATTGTATAATTGTAAGATTGCAAATATACTCACTTCAACAATAGCATCCAAGTCTTCAACAGTAAAAGCTACATCTTTAACTCCATCACCATGGGTAACCAGATGTTCTCCCATTTCTAGACAAAATGAATCATTTGAAAATTTAAATTAATAATAGCTGTCATTTTATCAAAAATTATTATCCATACAGTTAAATTAATTTACTTGTATTATTAATATATGTTGTATTTTAGACACAATTCTGTTGGTTTTATTGCAACGTCGTTTCATTAAAAAAACATAACAAGGAGGTTATTGTCAGGGATCTTGGTTCTGTATAGTTGTGAGCAGTTAGTCAGTTGGTTAATCAGTCAATCTGTAAGTCAGTCAACTTGTATATAGACAGCACACTAAATTAACAAGACACAAAATTAAAGCATACAGGATCATTAAATATGCATTAATTGGTACAGTGCTTTAAATAATAGAACTCTTGAAAGTTGTTTGGTCATCTCATAAAATCGATGGTCAGGCTAATTTGAAATTTTCTTGGTCAGGTGAAATCGTGGCTGGAATAACTGAAACGTTGCTACTACTACTACAAAATCTAGGACTAGGATAACATTGCCTATCATGCGAATCAGGACTATAACCAGGAGGGGTTTCTATGGTTTTAGCAGAACCCTCTGGTAAATCAAACTATCACCCACCCACACCCCAACTCCACCCACTCTTTGCATTAAACTACACAAATCAATGGTGATGTTGGTAGTCTATGAGTGGATACTTACCTGGATAAACCGACTAATTGCCTATTCTTTCTCTCACGAGAAACACCCCTCGAAAATAATAGAACAGTCGACTCCTGGCGCCAAGCACTAGCGGCCCCGCAACCATGCAACTTCCTCATTCGACACAATATCACAGGCGGCCAACGTACACAAATCTCACAAGGAGAATCCGCGGAGCACCCTCTGCAAGCAGGGCAAACCTTATGGTTATCAACCTTCGGGCTAGGCCGAGGGCACCGACACTGAGGACATTCCGACTTGCCGGCCATGACGACAGTACACAATATCCACAGCAAACGATAAAAATCCAAGATAATAAAATCCAAGGCACTATAGAGAACTCCGTAATCAACAGTGTAACTTTCGACTCGATCGAAAAAGAATGAGAAAGTTGCATGGTTGCGGGGCCGCTTGTGCTTGGCGCCAGGAGTCGACTGTTCTATTATTTTCGAGAGGTGTTTCTCGTGAGAGAAAGAATAGGCACTTAGTCGGTTTATCCAGGTAAGTATTCACGAAGTAGACTGCTACATGACAATTTCATCAGCTTCAGGCCTTATAAAAAATATTATTAGTTTATCACCCTATCTAGGCTGGAAAAGTGATGAGGGAGGGAGGCTTTTTTGAGGCTATTTTTTTTTTTTTTCTGAAGCCAAATATCACCCTTGGGTTGTTTGCTGGTGCACTGATACAAAGTAAAACATGACTGAGATAATACAAACAATATCTACTAACAATTTAATTTAAAAAATTTAAAATATTAAATTTTCAAAAAACAATTTAAAAAAAAAAAACTTTTTCAAAAATATATTTTTTTTCAGTACTATAGAAGACATGCGCACGAGGGTGATAAACTAATAATATTTTTTATTGAGCCTTATAAATACGTTAATACACATGGCCAGTTACTTAGACATGTGGATACTGACAAATCCACACACTACTGTACACTTGCCTTCATTTCCTGGGTTCAAGGCCGACTGGAGTACAAATAATATCTATGGGGAGAAAGAAAAAAAATAAAAATTAGAAACTGATTCTATCTTTAAAAAAAGTTAAGCCTTTAAATCTGACCTGGACAAGCCAAAGTAGAGGAAAATTAAAATTACCACTTTTTTTGTAACATGTCATTCCATCAACTCAGCACTGAAATGTTTAAATAAATATTTAAAAAAAAAAAAAAAAAAAAAAAAAACAGCGAGCAAGCAGGGATGAGAAAATAATAAACTGTTATACTTGGCTTAGAATGAAGTGGTACAACAATCTCAAACCCTTTTAGATAGTAGTTTGGCTAATTAAAAAACAAAATACTTTACAAATACACTTTCATAGACAAACATTATGTCATGATACCATGATATCGCTTTGCTACCAAGCAACCAATATAGGCATTGTAGCTGAGTGCTTCACTGCTAGGCCACAACAGCTTTTTCATCTAATGTATTCAAACCTAATGCAAACATTAAAAACATAATGGATGCCAACCATATATTATTCATCTGATAAAACCTGTATCTTGTGAAGAGGTGCTTGCGACATTTATTATAAACTACAATAAGGGTCATCATACCAGCACCATTCATACACAATATTAATATTATATATTACAGTAATATCAAACCTCATCTACAAACCTTATCTTGCTTGATCACATGGGCTACAACCTCCCTGCTACCTGTTTCTAGGCCCTTGTAGGCCAAGTGCTCAAAGCCCATCCTAGTACAATAAAAGGATGCAGCCTACAACATAGAAACAAACATTCTCTTTCAAGAAATTATTTTATTTACTAAGACCTGCAAAAAATATTTAGTATTTACACAAAAATATTAAAATTAGCCAAAACATTTATATACCTTGTTTAGCCAACCCGCCACCCTCCAATAATGATGATTTTGAATAAAAATTTTTGGCCAATTAGTGCAATTGTCGCCACAAAAAATGGAAATTCAGAAAAAAAAATAAAAGTTTTTCATTATTTTCATTACGTGCCCTGCAATCTCAAAAAATAAGATAAAAAAAGACAATATTTCCTCTTAACTATATAAATTTAAAGCATTTAACCATCCAATTATTACACTGTTTACATTCACAAATAAAATTTTATTTTTATTTTCTGCTCCGTTTGGATGTTTTGATACATTTTTTATAATATTATTTTGATACCTTGGACAAACTTATTTTTTTAAAGAGGAGAAGGGCGAAAGAAAAATAATAATAAACCTTTGTTTTCTTATTTAGCAAATAGTTTGCCAAAACATCCAGACGGAGGAGAAAATAAACATAAAATTTTATTAGTTAATGTAAACAGTGTAGTAATGGGATAGTCAGCTCGATGGTTAAATGCTTTAAATTTATATAATTAAAAAGAAATATAAATATCTTATTTTTGGAGATTTAAGGGCAGCGGCGGCTATAATAAAAATAAGGAAAAAACTTTTTCTGAAATTTCTATTTCTGTGGCGACGCATACGCTAATTGGCCAAAAATAGAATTTTTATTCGAAATCATAATATTGTCGGGCAGCGATTTTGCTAAACAAGGTATAAACAAAGTTTCGCCGTATTTGCCACTTCCACCCTTTTCAGGTTTTGGAGTGGCTTTGCTGGCCACAACTATTGTGCATTTGTTAAGGCATGGCTGATCCGAAAGCTTCCCTGTAATAATGCTGGTAGCACACATAGTCATCTCTAGTAGATTTCACTGAAATTGTGAAGAATCTTTATATACCATACTAGTGTGTGACTACCAGCAAATATTATTTGAAATATAGAAATTTTAAATTTTATCTTTAATGGAATCCTCAGTTCAAATATCAGAAGCAGTGTATCATTTGTAGTATTATAATCATAACTCTTTTAATTATCTACTAAACCATAGAGGTATGAACATTTTAATTAGCCATTTAGGGGCAGATTTAAGAAGGGGAACATGCCAAGTTTTGCTACTGTTACTGTCAGAAAAATATATAAAACGGCATATACAACACTACATGTTAGAATATTTCATAACAAAACATGAATCTTATCATTATTGGATACTTATTTGTCTGTATAAAGTACAGTAATTATAAACATCTAGGCCTAAATTATATGGAATTGCTTCCCCCACCTTAATTTCAGCAATTCTGGATCCCTTCCCCTGTTATTTTTCAGCCAATTTTCTCTAGTGCTACCAACCCTGCATTATGAATTGGGTTAATAATTTCAAATTAGGGCATATAGAAAAAATTATTAGATTATCATATTTTTTTTTTAAATCGATGAGGGAGGGCAGTTTTTTTTTTTTTATCTGAACAATAGATTATTTCGCTTCTGTCTTATCGATGAGGGAGGGACTGTATATATTTGGCTAATAATAGTAATATTGTATAAAAAGTGGTTTAATTTTATAGTTTTTTAAAAGAAAATGTATTTGAGGTTTATTGCATTGAATATTTTTATGCTGTTGAAATAATTGATGTGGCAAACAAAATTTTTTTTTATTCCTGCATCAATATTTCCCGAATTTTGACGCAGGCAGGAGTGATAATCTAAAAATGTTTCTATTTGCCCTTAACCAGCCATTAATCCATTTTAGAAATTCACACATTTTATTAAACAAATTACCATTCCAACATCTGAAACAAGAAAAAGGCGCCCTAAATACAACTTGTATTTTTGTACGGTAAAAGAAAGACCAACCTCTGACACACCCCTTAAACTATCCAATGAAAATGCATACCGTGATCATACAGTTGGCTTACCTGTTTTGCGTTTCCAACCCAAAAGGTAACATGGTCGAAGCAGACAAACCTACCGGCTTCGGGCTGAAGGCCAAGAAACAAGACACACTGTGTTTATATGACATTAACTTATAATAGGCCTAGATCACATTATTTACAGATTCGCATAATGATTAATAATACAATAAATGTGGAGAAGGGCTAGGCCCTAGGCGTACGTTACGTTGTACGTCCTACCTACTGACTGAACAGTCAAAACCATCATTTAATGAATTTTGGAAGTTGCCCTACCGTACCTTCTCTCCTTTGTCAGTGTACGTGGTCTGTTGGGTAAAAACACATATTCAAGGTTATTATGGCAGTTTACATTAGACAATACACACACACAATTTTACGCAATAAATATCACATATGCTATTCAAACATGTTTGTACCGTACTCACCATTTTTTACTGCACTTCTCAGGCCGTTCCAAAATACTTACTATATACGTTATGAGGTGGCGATGTGTGTGAATTAAAAAACAATTGGCAGAACGATTTGTGTTTTAGAGCCCAATCTCATTCAATGTAGATATTTTCAAAATACACCATCCTCCATCCTCGGTATCATGGCTGCATGTTTCTATTATGTTAAGGCCCCATAAAAAAATTATTAGTTTATCACCCCCTCCCTCATCACTTTTGGGAAATTCAGATTTTTTTTTTCTCCAATCAACATATATTTTTATTTCAAACGGTCGTTTTTTCCATCTTTTTTAACTTGAAAAGCTCAGGATTTCTTGCAAATATGTTTACTGGTACAACAAAAGCATATTTTTAAATATAAATTTCATACCATTCTTATGACTTTTTATATACGTGTCCCTAACCATTGAATAACTTGTGAACATCGGTAAAATGGGGGCGGGGTTAAAAAAAAAAAAAAAAAAAAAAAAAAAACCTCCCTCCTCATAGTTTTTATTCTTTGTCAGGGGGTCCTGACACCCTTTGGGCAGAAAAAAAAATTAAAATTAATAATAACATTTAAAAAATAGGCCTTAGGCCTACCTTTTCAGTGCGCGTGAGCTGATTTTTTTCTCTCTTTTTTTTACAATGGGAAAATTAGAAAAGCTCATTTCAGCGGCCATGTAGGAACCAAAATTTTCCCGGGGTTTCCCCGGACCCCCCCATCTTTTTGGGGTTTTTGGGAAACATTTTTACCACCCTCTTCCCCCCCCCCCCCGTCGCCCAAAAAAAAATTGAACCCAGATCTTCCACTGAATGCGGCGTGTTTATTCGGATTACGGTATACAGTGTAATATCGGTTATTTTGGCCCGACAAACCGTATTTATTCCAATAAACGCCAGTGGGCGTTTATTGTTGAGAAGGGGTTTTTGAGGGAGAGTTTATTCGAAGGGAGGCGCAGCGTTTATTTGAGGGAGGAGTTCATTTTTGTTTGGTGTAAATGAATACACAATATTATCCTGGCGTGTTTTTATTAATATTAATAGAATGTGTTGAAAATTAAACCTAGGTTGCTTCCATTAGTTATATTTACAGTCATTTTGGATGAGGGAGGGGCAGGTGGGGGAAGTGGCGTAACGGCCATGAGCTCTAACAGGCTAAAACCAGGGGCCCCCCAACAAATTCATTTTTTTTTGGACAAACAAATAACCCTTTTCAAAGCCAAAGTCTCGGTAAAATAAAGTTTATTAGTGATATCTAACAAGTATACTTTTTTTTTTGGGGGGGGGGGTCAAATCACGATGCATAAACTTCGAATTAGAATGTGTGAAAATGGCATACGTCTTAAAACGCTAATAAAAACACCGGGCCCTTCGCAGCCCCCGTCCCCCTGCGTCTGGGGACCTGAAGGGCCCCTGCCCAGGGTCCCCTTCGTTACGCCACTGGGGGAACTAACGCCCCGAGGTGTTTACTCCAAATGAGGCTATGGAGGCGCGATGATCGTGTATTCGGGGGCGTTTATTCATAAGCATGCAGGGCGTTTATTTTAATAACGACGGAGGTGCATTAGGCTTATCAAAGGCGCTGTGCATTTTAATGATAGAAAAGGTGAGTTTTAAGTATTTTTTTTAAATGAAGAAACAGAAGAACAGTTTTTAATGTGTGCAGGAAGTCAATTCCAAAGTGCCGGGTGGGGCAAAGGAAAAAGATTTATGGCCAACAGTGGCGTAGAGAGCCAGTAAGGGCCCCGGGGCAACACCTCACATGGGCCCCCCTTCACTTGGGACCCACACTCGGCCGCTCCCCAAATTAAGTCTCCTCCTAAGACCCTACCGTATTTGTCCAAACCCACATACATGAATATGATTCCATGTGAACAAAAGTTTTCATCCTGGCTTGGGCTCGGGCCCTATGGAGATTTTGTTCTTACCCCGAAAATTGTTCATCTTGGTCCGACCTGGGCCCCGGGGCAGCGACCCCTCTGACCCCTCTCGACGCCACTAATGGCCAATAGTTTTAAAGGATGTATACGGGGAACGGAGAGCAAACAAATATCAGATGATCTTATTTAGGGTGTGTCCAGGAATATAAATGTGGGTATGCTGATGTATATAGGTTGCTTACATAGAAGTGTAAATGTAAATACAGTATGCGGGAATCAATGGGAAGCCAAGGAAGTGGTGATGTCACACAGGGCCGGCGGAACGTTTTTCAAAAGCTGGGGGGCCCCACTTATAAGCAGGCGTGTAACAGGGGTTTTTCCCTAAATGTGCAATTTTTAGAGGAAATTGGCCTACCTCAACAAGAAATGCTCTTATGTTATATATGGACACACTCGTTTTTTTAAACAGAATATAAGCATTTTCCTTATGGCTTTATTACAAACATATTCTTTCAAAATAATTACACATTGAGGCCCTTCTTTTAGGTAAAACGATCTATCTTAAATTTTCTTTCTTGAGTTTGGGACTATGTGTTATAAGTTAGAAGGCAAAGGAGAGCAAGCACAAGCTTTAACATTAAAAAATGCGCGCGAAGCGCGCGAAAAATTGTTGTTTTTGTTTTTTAAATTCTAATTTCGTCGGAATTGATCAAAACTCCCTAAAATGTACAATTTTTAGAGGTATTTGGCCTACCTCAACAAAATATGCGATTTAAAATTTGAGATTTTCAGGCACTTTCCCGGGTGAAAAGGGCATTCAATGGGGAAAGATTTTCCACAGATGGATATTTTCCCCTTGTCCCCCGGTGATTACGCAACTGCGGAGAATACATGGCGGCTTAGATCAAATGCGATATGGACACTTTTTGAAGTGGAGAAGGGGTTGCAGGCCGGGGTATTGTGATATCTGTTCATTATATTTTCCTTTTTATTCTTGCCTTTATTTTTCTCTTCTCTTTTTCTTTTCCTTTTTCCTTTCTTTTTCTTTCCCCTTCTTTCTCTTTTATCTCCCTCTCCCCTCTTTCTTTTCTCTTCTTACCCAGCCCGGTACGACGGCTTGGTCAGCCCGGTAAAAACCGTCATGGGGGACAGTCTGTCCCCCCCCCCCGCCTGTTACGCCACTGCTTATAAGATGAATGAGAATATGAATCATGCAAATTTTTATTTATTTTTTTTATTTATTAAGGTATAACACACAAAACAAAACAACAGCCAAAGGCTGAAAACGTTTGTTTACAATAAACAAAAAAAGACAACATAGGAAAACAAGTCAGGTGGAAAAATACATATCGAGATATCAAAACATTCAAATAATCTGGAATCAAATCTAAGTGGTGGGGTCAACTTTCCTCCCCCGGGAAAATTTTGATTTCTAGATGTCGGGAAATGACCTTTCTCGACTTTTGAGCTAGGTGTCTAATGACTTTGTTCTTCAAAATTCAAGGTTTTCCCCCTCATGAAAACGGTAAGGTAAACTTTCTCATAACAGTAAATAGGCCTGTTATGTGTGTATACATACATTTTTAAAAAATTGAGTAGTTGCATACGATTTTTTCCATGAGATGAATCCCAAAAAGAAAGGAGGGTCCGGGGGTTCTTCCCCAGGAAAATTTTGATTCCTAGAAGGCGGGAAATGAGTTTTCCCGACTTCTGAGGTGTCTTTTAAATTAAAGTCATTAAAAAATACTTCAGAAGTCGGTAAATCTCATTTTCCACTATTTAGAAATCAACATTTTCCCGGGAAGAACTCGAACCTACCTTTCTCTGGATTCATTGATTCATTATAATAATTTTCAAGAGGGGAACACCTTGAATTTTGAAGAACTTAAAAGTAATCAAGTTCTTCAAAATTCAAGGTTTTCCACTCTTGAAAACGGTCAGATAATTTTTTCCCATTGTTATTACAGTAAATAGGCTTTATGTGTGTATACATACATAAAAAAAGATTGAGTAAGTTGCATACGTAGTTTTTCCATGAATTGATAAATTCCCAAAAAGAAAGGGTGGGGGAGGTCCTGTGGTTCTTCCCCGGGAAAATTTTGATTCCTAGATGGCGGGAAATTTTTTTTTTGGCTATTAGAAAATTCGAATTTTGAAGAATTTAAAATTCATTAAAACACACTTAAAATGTGGGGAAAGCTCAATTCCCGCCATCTAGGAATTCTTTTTTGTAATTTTGTTGGTCTTGAATTGACGAGTGCCATTGTAACAAAAGTGTAAGTTCAATAAATAAATTAAATTAAATATGATTTTGTTAAGCTTTGTGTAAATTGATTGTGCTTATAAAGCACAAGCAATTTTTCCCCTACTGTTTAATAGGCCTGTTTTTGTTTAATCCTTTGTTTAGTTTTTAGATACTTTTGTTAGGCCTTGTCTAAATTGATTATATTTCTTTAATAAGAGAAGAGCAATTTGTTCTCTTAGTTTAAGATTGACTGCACCACTTAATTGTGTGTTGCCACTGTTATAAAAGTGAAATGTCGAATAAATTATTATTATTATTATTATTATTATTATTATTATTATTATTATTATTATTATTATTATTATTATACTATGGTTGTGCATGTTAAGATATTCATCCAGTTTGACTCCGAAGTGCGGTGAGAGGGATGAATTAATGATGAACCAAATACGGTAATATAATAATTATTGAGTAGCCTATATTATAGGGTATTATCATAGAAACAACATAGAAGTAAATTAGTACTTTATGATGATACCAAAGAGTATAAGATGATACCTCCTCTCAAAATTATTTGACTGAGGGCGCTGTATCTCGCGCCACAGAGGTGAGTTTGGTTTTTGCTTTGTATGGATGGTAAGGCTTAACTAAAACAGAATAACAACCCTCACATTTAATAATAGGCTGGATGAAGTTACTGTATAAAGAGTTAGCAAGATGACCGAAGTGCTTGAGTTTAAAGATGTTGCCCAGGAAGTGAAAGGTGCAATGGTACGTAACATAACACTTGACTATAATTATTTGGCTAGGCCTAGCCTAGTCTAGGGAAGACAACCTTTATTTCTGTACTGTCTGACCTTTGTTTGATAGACAGAGGAGAGAGAGAGAGAGCACACGCGTGTGGACGAGTGGACACATTTACTGACAAGATATGGTCGGGATTAATTGGGGCTCACTCATTACCCTGAATGCCCGAAAGAGTATAAGTTGCCCGATCATGTCATGTTATTGTTGGCAAAACTGTCTGCGATTGTGATGTATTTTTTTAATAATTTATATTAGCCTAATACTTATTATTACATTAATTATGTCATCATCAGGAATGAATTCCTGATGATGACATAATTATGTCGAAATATTGAATCCCAACACGATGGCGTGTATTTAAAAAAAATGTTTGTGTTGGCCACGTTTTCGGAAAGTCAAAAAACTTGGTAGGTCGGTAGGAAAACTTCTTTAAAAAAAAAATTTTTTTTAACACCTAAAGATGTGTTTACGCCTAAAAAGTAGAAAATACACAAATAATACAACAATTTTGGATTCGCATCATGTACCATCAAGTGAAATAGGCTTTGCCTTGACCCCCCTAGCCTGACCAAAACAATTTCAGTCTTATATGCTGTCTCTTATACACATCTAGATGTGTATAAGAGACAGGTCTTATCGATGAGGGAGGGACTGTATATATTTGGCTAATAATAGTAATATTGTATAAAAAGTGGTTTAATTTTATAGTTTTTTAAAAGAAAATGTATTTGAGGTTTATTGCATTGAATATTTTTATGCTGTTGAAATAATTGATGTGGCAAACAAAATTTTTTTTTATTCCTGCATCAATATTTCCCGAATTTTGACGCAGGCAGGAGTGATAATCTAAAAATGTTTCTATTTGCCCTTAACCAGCCATTAATCCATTTTAGAAATTCACACATTTTATTAAACAAATTACCATTCCAACATCTGAAACAAGAAAAAGGCGCCCTAAATACAACTTGTATTTTTGTACGGTAAAAGAAAGACCAACCTCTGACACACCCCTTAAACTGTCCAATGAAAATGCATACCGTGATCATACAGTAGTTGGCTTACCTGTTTTGCGTTTCCAACCCAAAAAGTAACATGGTCGAAGCAGACAAACCTACCAGCTTCGGGCTGAAAGGCAAGAAACAAGACACACCACACTGTGTTTATATGACATTAACTTATAATAGGCCTAGATCCCATTATTTACAGATAGGCGTACGTTACGTCCTACCTATTGACTGAGCAGTTCAAACCATCATTTAATGAATTTTGAAAGTTGCCCTACCGTACCTTCTCTCCTTTGTCAGTGTACGTGGTCTGTTGGGTAAAAACACATATTCAAGGTTATTATGGCAGTTTACATTAGACAATACACACACACACAATTTTATGCAATAAAAATCACATATGCTATTCAAACATGTTTGTACCGTACTCACCATTTTTACTGCACTTCTCAGGCCGTTCTCCAAAATACTACGTAGTTATGAGAGCGGTGGCGATGTGTGTGAATTGGTGTAAAATAAATCAATTGGCAGAACGATTTGTGTTTTAGAGCCCAATCTCATTCAATGTAGATATTTTCAAAATACACTATCCTCGGTATCATGGGTGTATGTTTCTATTATGTTAAGGCCCCATAAAAAATTTAGTTTATCACTCCCTCCCTCATCACTTTTGGGGAAATTCTGATTTTTTTTTCTCCAATCAACATCCTATCTTTATTTCAAACGGTCGTTTTCCCATGTTTTTTTAGCTCATGATTTCTGGCAAATATTTACTGATACAACCGCCTTGATACAACAAAAGCATATTTTTAAATATAAATTTGATACGGTACCATTCTTATGACTTTTTATATGTGTCCCTAACCATTGAATAACTTGTGAACATCGATAAAATGGGGGCGGGGTTAGCAAAAAAAAAAATAAAATAAAATAAATTAAAAATAAAAAAAAATATTAATAAATAAATAAATAATAAAAAAAACCTCCTTCCCTCATTAGTCTTTATTCTTCGTCAGAGAGCAAACAAATATCAGATGATCTTATAGAGTGTGTCCAGGAACCTAAATGTGGGTAAGCTGATGTATGGGTTGCTAAGTATGCGGGGAATCAATAGGAATCAAGGAAGGGGTGATGTACTGAGATCGACGTTTTGTGAATGTTATATAATTCATGCAGCGGACTTTTGAAGCCTCTGCAGTAATCAAGACGGGATGAGACAAAAAGCATGAATATAGAAGGAAGCGTCGAGTGCACAGTGCAACATTACGAAGAGAAGTTGACCGATTTAGTTACAGTATACAGTAAATGCTCGAAGCGCCGCTCTCGAATAAACGCCGCACCAATCCTGTTTTTGCTGCTAGCGCCGCTCTCTCGCGGCGCCTATTCGAGGGTATATATTACAGTGTTTTAAATACTGTGTATTACAGTGTTAAAATGAATAAATAACACAATGAAACACAAGCATTTCTTTATAAACTCTTTTCTTTATAGACCTAGGTCTACTGATACGGAAAGGATACATGAGATAAGTAACATGGAATGGAAAGCGCCACGCAAATACTTTTTATAAGCGCCGCTTTCGAATATGCGCCACTCTTTAAGCGCCGCGCACTGCACCGAGAATCCTCCAAAAATGTTATAAGCGCCACTGTGCTTATTCGACCATTTACGGTAGCTGATATAAACTTGTATTCTTTTAATGATTTGCTATGTTGTGACGTTGAATTAAACTTTTTTTTTCTCTCCTCAACTGTAGGCCTACAGAAAAGTAAATCTGTATTGCTGTATCTGCTTTGTATCTATATACTTTAATTAGTTTAATTTAAGTTTAACTGTTAAGTTATGATAAGAAGTGGCTTTCAAATTTTGTGCTTTTGCTTTTTGTATTTTTTTTTTTTTTTTTTAATGTAGCTCCTTTTTTTATTTTTTTTAAAATTTTGTTAGTCAATTGACGCCGAGAGTGCCCCGGACTGTTAAACAAAAGTGTAAGTTCAATAAATAAATTAAATTAAATATGATATGGTTGTGCATGTTAAGATATTCATCCAGTTTGACTCCTAAGTTAGTAATGCGATGAGAAGGATGAATTAATAATGAACCAAATACGGTAATATAATAATTATTGATTAGCCTATAATTATTATAGGGTAAAGTAACTATGATGATACCCCTCTCAAAATTATTTGACTGAGGGCGCTGTATCTCGCGCCACTGACTCGAGAAAATGGTAGTGAGTTTGGTTTTTGCTTTGTATGTATGGATGGTAAGGCCTAAAACAGAGTAACAACTCTCACATTTAATAATAGACTGGATGAAGTTACTGTATAAAGAATTACCAAGATGACCGAAGTGCTTGAGTTTAAAGATGTTGCCCAGGAAGTGAAAGGTGCAATGGTACGTAACATAACACTTGACTATAATTATTTGGCTAGGCCTAGCCTAGTCTAGGGAAGACAACCTTTATTTCTGTACTGTCTGACCTTTGTTTGATAGACAGAGGAGAGAGAGAGAGAGCACACGCGTGTGGACGAGTGGACACATTTACTGACAAGATATGGTCGGGATTAATTGGGGCTCACTCATTACCCTGAATGCCCGAAAGAGTATAAGTTGCCCGATCATGTCATGTTATTGTTGGCAAAACTGTCTGCGATTGTGATGTATTTTTTTAATAATTTATATTAGCCTAATACTTATTATTACATTAATTATGTCATCATCAGGAATGAATTCCTGATGATGACATAATTATGTCGAAATATTGAATCCCAACACGATGGCGTGTATTTCAATACTTGGAGTATGTATTATACTTTCGAATACCATACTGTACTTGTTGGAAGAACGACAATGATTGTGGAAGTTGGTTTTACCTTCTCTCCTTTGTCTGGTTCTGTCTAGTTTTCTGAAGTTAATACAAGCACAGGTTTACAACATAAAATTAAAATGACATATTCTGTGCAAAGTTTGTAAGCATTTGTCAGAGTCACAAAAAATCTGTTCTTGTTTGTGTGATTGAAGCATATGGGTAGAGTGGGGACTCATTAAACATTGTTAAGATAATTAATTGGCAGTACAATTTGAATTTGTGATTTTTGTTTTATTAAATTTGTTTGATCAAGGCAAGTGTACAGTAGCGTCTAGATTTTAAGTCCTCATCCGAGAAGACTTCTACCAATGCGGGCGAGGAGTGGCTCGAACCAGCCCAGATGTTAAGGCTGATAGATAGTAGCGCCCCTGCCTTACTGCTCGACCACTTGACTCGCCATTTACCATTGTTCATACTACATTTACTTTACATTATGCTCTTGTTTATTTAAGAATGATGGACGTCTTAAATTGAGTCGGCAAGGTGTTGTGTTCAAAAACAACAAGACAGGGAAGATTGAGCAGGTTCAGGCCACAGATTTAGAAGTAGCCTCCTGGATCCAGGTTGCCCGCGGACATGAACTCAAGCTTTTCCAAAAGAATGGAACAGTTTTTAAATTTGATGGATTCAAAGAAACGGTAGATGAAAAAATACTCACTCAACTTCATAATCAATCTTTACCTTTATTGTCCATTTTATGAATTACAATAGAAATATAAGGTACTGTATTTAAAAAATATTTAATTTGAGAATCTTATCTGAATTAAAATTATTGTCAGGTGCTTATGATTGCCCTCTATTACTTTTTTGCCTCACTTTATTGTTTCCTAAATGCTTTTGGCAATAACATTTTGCTCAATGAGAAAACAAAATTTTTTTTTTTTTCTCAGGATTTTGATCGTCTATCATCATTCATCAAGAAAAATTATGAAATCTCTTTAGAAGAAAAAGAACTTTCCGTTAAGGGATGGAATTGGGGACAACCAAACTTTGTTGGTAAGATGTTCTTTCTTATAATCATCATCATCATCACCGTCCTGATCATTTTAACACAACAACTCATACTCCAAATTTGTGCCATTATCTGTGACGTTTATCTTTATAAAGTCAATATCTATAGATTTGTATAATTCCTACTGATTTTCTTTATTAAAAAAAAAGTTTACTATCCACTTACCATTATTACAACATTATGCCCCTGGTCATTGCAACAAACACTAATGCCATAATATTGTAGCAGTAATCAGCGTATTGGAGTTTCAAGCTACCAGGTACCTACTTATACTCCTGGGTGTGGAGAGAGGCATGATAAGTGATTTGTCCAAGGGCACAAGCAAAATTTCTGAATGTCCAATAACAAGATGTTAAATTTTATATATAAGTATAAAGAATGAATATAAGACAGTCATTCTCTTATCACTAACCAGACCATATTTCTCATTGTCAAATAATTTATCATCTGCCATACATCCAATATTCATGATTTACCTTTAAAATACTTAACCAATCATTTGATCTTTATTGTTATTAATTTAGGCACACAACACATGCAAAAGGATTGTCAATAGCAAATATATCACTGTCCTACTTGTAAATGACAATCCCTTTCACAGGACAAACATACACACAATGGTTTAACACAAACTAAATCTAAATCAGATTTAGGGAGTGGAGTTGTTTTAGTCGTGGGAAAAAAAATCCTGCAACACTTACAGGAATTGAACCCAGGACCCTTGGATTGGAAGGCAAGCATCTTAACCACCAAGCTATTCAACTCCTCTCTTATTTCTCATCTTCAGGTTCAGAGATGTCATTTGAAGTGAATAGCAAGTCATGCTTTTCAATTCCTCTTGGAAATGTTGCCCATGCAACAAAGAGCAAGAATGAAGTTGTGTTAGAGTTCCATCAGAATGATGATTCAGAGGTGTCACTAATGGAAATGAGATTCTTCATTCCACCGACCGACTCAGAGGTAGACCGAGTACAGGTGAGGTCCTTAAGGTCAAGTGCTATAAATGGATAACTGGTTTAATTTCTTGTTTTCCTTTAAAATTTGTATATTTAATTGTACAAAAAAAAGGGACACTATCTTGTAGACAAAATTCTCCTTTGTACACCTAACATGCACAAGAACAGGAAATGGGATGAAATAAAGTTGAAGTTTTGCAAAATTTCTTATGTTAAAAGTATGTTGATAGGCACGGCAAGGTATACTGTACTCCTCAAGAAGCAGAATGTATTATATGTTGCCTCCATTTGCCAATCAGTGAGTTTTAAATCTGAGACCGCAAGTATTTTGGAAGTGGTTTGATGCCAATGTTTAGGCACTGTGAGCATTCATAGTTTTACTCATAAACGTTATTTGTCAGGGACATGAAATCAACTCTGAACCCGTCATTGTAGAAAGTGTTCTTCTGACCAATCAGAATTAAAATTAAAATATTTGTGTACTCATTTCATCCAGTTTTTATTGAAGTTTGTTCTTTTCGTCAGCAATTCCATGAGAGTGTGTTGGCCAAAGCAGATGTCATTCAAGCTATCGGAGATGCCATTGTTAAGCTTGAACAAATTGCATGTCTTACACCAAGGTAAAAATATATTGATTCTATAAATAGTGTTTTGAGCTTGAACAAATTGCATGTCTTACACCAAGGTAAAAATATATTAATTCTTTAAATAGTTTTTTGATACAGTAAAGCTACATCCATGAAATGTGAATGAATGCTTACCTATATGATAATCCTTAAATTCTATGTACCAAACTCAAACTTGTAACAGGGATTCATTTGGGGGTGGGGGGAGCAGGGAGGTTTCTCGGAAGACAGAGCTTAAGGGGTGCCTAAAAGCCCTGGTGGAATCCAGATAAAGTGGTGTGTGTGTGTCAGAGGGCAAAAATCATCTGGCGCTGAAGTCTTCTAGCATGTAAATGGTACAGTCTATTATGTGAATACTTACCTGGATAATGAAGAAATAGTCCGACCTAGGTGTATATAATGCAACACTCTCATGTAGCAAGCCTCAGTTTTCCTTTCGCTGTGAGTTTATTTGAGTTTTTTAAGCTTTTAAACCAGTCAGTTATGTAATTTACTAAGGCTTTTATCATTTTACTTGATTGTGTTTTTCAGAGGTCGATATGACATCAAACTATACCCAACTTTCATGCAGTTTCATGGCAAGACTTTTGATTACAAGATTCCTTACACTACTGTCCTTCGTATCTTCCTCCTTCCACATAAAGACCAACGTCAAGTGTTTTTTGTTGTAAGTATAAACACAACTATAGTTGAGTTTTCAAAACAATATTGGAAAATATAGCCAAAGAAGCCATTATTTTATGGAAATAATGCCTCAAAATCCTGCAGGCCCAGAAGACCATTCTGATTTGCAGAAGAATCCTACAACTCAAAATTTTGAGTTTGACCCTCTGGCTTTACAAAACACTCTTACTCTTATAAATATTAAATTATATTTAATAATAGAATTTAATTTGGTCTGGAAAAATTGATATACTTAGTTTTTATATAATAAATATGATGATTTGACTTCAATTTCAGATAAGTGTTGATCCACCTATAGTTCAAGGTCAAACTCGTTATCATTTTCTCATACTCTCCCTCAACAAAGAAGAAGACTTAACCCTTAACCTCAACTTGACAGAGTAAGTGCATAATATGTATTCTTAGTATACTGATGTAGTTATTGGTACTCATAGTGGTGATACACATTCATATTATCTGTTTACTGTTATTCATACAGTTGTCATTGTAATTATGAAGATGACCATGAAATAAATGTGAGCAGAAGAGAAAGTTTTAACAGGCTACAAGCATAAGTGCCTTTTATTAATAATTTTATTTTGGAATTTGCACAACTAATTATTATTTTCATAATTAGCCAAGGAAAGAAAATTGTTTTGTCCTAAGCCTGTCCAATACAAAATGTCGACAATCAATCCAGGGTTTGCCCAAAATACTAATATGATGTTTATAAAGACTACTTTTCGATTTTTAATTAATGTGTTTAAGAATAATATTAACTATAAATTTTAGCCCTGTGGAATAATTGATGCATTGATTGATTGATTGATTGATTGATTTCCATTAAGAGAGGAGATGACAGAGAAGTATGATGGTAGGCTTCAGCAGGAGATGGCTGGACCATACCATGAGATAGTGTCCAGGTTGATGAAGGCTCTCATTGGCACCAAGATTACGGTTCCTGGATCTTTCAAGGGGTGAGAAACATCATTTTATATATATATGGCCTTGTCAATTAATATAATTATTTTAAAAAGATATTATATAGATGGAAAATGACCTGCATAATAGGCTTTCTCATGTAAGATAGAATAATTTAAAAATGTTATGCTATTTGTAACAATAGTCATTAGCATTGGTTAAGCCGGAATGTCAGGTGTAGCCTTGGCGCATATTATGGTCTAGTCGTGAAAATTTCCTCACAGTAATAAAAATAATTATTATATTAGAGTTTCTGTTAGTTTATGTACAATGTGATTAAGTGATTTGATATTAAAATTCTCGCTAATTGCAATTGTTTGGTCTTCTAAAAATTGCATAGTACATGGTTTTGAAAAGTACCTGTAATAGACAGAACAATTTGATTGAACACATAAACTAGTATAGATATTTTTAACTGCTATAATTAGAATATAAATATTTTTAACTACTATAATTAGATACGATTACTAAATATTTTTTTTAATGTTTCTTACAATATTGTTAGGCCATCTGGTTCTCAAGCCATCACCTGTTCATACAAGTCCAACAGCGGTTACCTTTATCCTCTGGAACGAGGCTTCATTTACGTCCACAAGCCCCCAATCCACATTCGCTTCGATGAGGTTACCTGTGTGAACTTTGCACGTGGTACTGGCAGCTCACGTTATTTTGACTATGAAATTGAAACACGCAATGGAAATGTTTATGTGTTTAGCAGTATAGACAAGTGAGTAAATTGGGTTTTTTTTACCTTCTCCTAAACTGTAGACATTTTAAATCTTCAAAATTATTCCTGAACTGTGTTTAGTTAATCTAAATGTAACTGAGATTGGTTAATCTGAGTGTACAGTAACTTTGATTGGTTAATCTGAATGTTAGTGTAACTGTGATTTGTTCATCTGGATGTACAGTAACTTTGATTGGTTAATCTGAATGTACTGTAACTGTGATTGGTTAATCTGCATCTACAGTAACTGTGATTGGTTAATCTGAATGTACAATAACTATGATTGGTTAATCTAACTTTAATTTTGATTCTTTAAAATATCAATATAATTGATTCCTAAGTATTTTAAAATCAAATTGTGAGATTATGTAGAATGTTATTCCTGAAGGTGTACTAGTCCAAAATACTGAGTCAATGGCTTGTTTCATAGCCTCTTGTTTCACTAAGCCATCTCTTCTTTCTTAGCTTCATTCTCCTCTTCTTTCCTTCATTTTCTTCTGTCACCTCAATTATCATCTTTTAACTCATTTTTCTCTCCCTCTCCTGTTTTTCTTGATCTTTTTGTGTAGACTTCTGATATGATCACATTTTAATGATCAAGATTTCAGAATTAGGATTATTTAAATGTTTAGGAGATCAGTCTTTTTTCATGCAACTTTGAAAACTCATTCATTATCTAATGTTATTGTTAAAATTAATTAATATTTTATTCCTTATTTACCTGTTTATCAGGGATGAGTATGGGCCACTCTTCGATTTTGTGAAGAACAAGAAACTGAGAATGAAGAATAGGAACATGAAAGATGTAAGTATTGATTTATATCCACTTGTATGTAATGATTATTTAATGGAAAATTTCAAAAAGGACTTTACTATGAATAACAATTTCTATACTTACTTTATTCTCAGTTTGTATACTGATATCAGTCAAAAATTAAGATGAATAAATCTTTCTTCCTAGGACACAGTCAATTACGATGAAATATTTGGAAGTGATGACGAGGACGAGCACGATGCATACCTGGTACAGGTAAAAGCAGAAGGCCGCGAGAAGGATGATGATTATGTGATGGCAGAAGAGGACGACGATGATGATGAGGATGGTATGTTCATGTTTCTCTAAACTAAATCTTGGAACAAGGCTTAGGTACTAGAGTGATTTTAGTAAGATAGGAACATAATATAAATGTACCAGAAAATGGTTGTTGTAAACAAATACAGTGGCGTGATGGTTAGCGATTGTACAACGTATCCGAGAGGTAAGTCCTGTAGAATGGCTTATCATTTTCACGGAACTGATGCTCGTTTAATAATATTCCATGAGCTTAAATTGCTGGCTGTGTAAACCACGTTTTCTGCCCTTTTTATCAGACTTTGTTATTCACCTGTATGTACGATCTAGTCCTAGGTAGGCCTGGTTTCCTTGATTTCATATGATAATTCATATATATTGTATAGTTCTCTCTTTTAATTAATAACCTTTGTGATTGTTGCATTTTTCCGAACTGCTTTTATGTGAGGGCCCCATGGGTCACCCTCAGTAAATAAAATTGAATAAAAATAAATCAATACTTTGCAGACAAGGTCCCTTCATAATTCTAATACAGAGTTTAATTGATTTATGTGATCTTTGTTTTCAGATGATGATTTTAATCCACTGGAAAGTGCCAGCTCTTGTGCTGAAGAGTAAGTACATATACAATCTTTTGAGGATTCAGTGGCACATTTACTCAATAGTGGTGCTTTATCTAGAGTGGCACTTATTACAAAATATTGAAGTTGTTAAAATCATATGTGCTGTACATAAGTCTATCTGAATTTGTGTAACATTAGTATTGTATAGATCTTGAGAAGCAGACTGTTTTGTAGTGTGCTGATGATTTAAAAAAGGGCGCATTTGGAAATGTGTACTCTCTATTAAAATTGCAGCAACGTTTATTCAAAATAGATTCTCTAATAAGTGCCGTGGAGCTTTTTTGAGAGACATGCCTAGCAAAAAAAAAAATGAACATGAGAAGAGGAGCCTTACAAAAGTCGATTTAAAATATATTAATGTCATAATAATTAATAATTATTAAAAACTTCAGAAAATGAAAACTGACAAATTGTACAACTGTTAAAATTCTCTTACAGATACGACAGTAATGTCAGTACATCAAATTCAAGTGACTCAGAAGAAGAAGGGGACAGCCAGAATGCTGAAGAGGCTGATGAAGTGGAGGAGGGAGAATTGACGTCAGAAACGAAAAAGAGGAAGAAGAAAAAAGAAAAGAAAGAATCTAAACCAAAAAAAGTCAGAAAAGTAGTAAGTACAGTTCAGTACAGAAGAATGCTCTTAAACATCCGTGATCTATGAAACAGTTAACAAAAAAAAAAGATTAAATCAAAACTCACCAAAATTTGATGGTTGTCATCTATCATCATTTATTTTACCATCGTAACATAAACAAATTTATGAAGTAAGGAAATGAAATTATGATGTTATTTTATTTTTATTTGAATGGAAAACAAACTCATTCCTTTCTTTAATTTGAATTGAAATTGTTCCAAACTGCAATCTCATGTGTATACTGTTATTTCTTGGGTGTTAGTCAACCCATTTGAAATAAATTTGGGCTGATTTTGAGGGGCGGGCAAATCATCACCGCTACCAATTCAAAGCCATTCTTTCATATTTTTTTTTCTGTAAGTATTTATGAAAGTCAGATGAGCTACTCATTGAAATTAAATTGCTGGTATGTAATAAGAACATAAATTAGGGGGTTACTATTTGTAACACATAGTTTGCAAAGGAATTTTATCAGCTTTCAACCTAATAAACCAGTGGCGTAATGCCTATGTGCTCTTAAGGGAGAGGCTCCAGTCCAAGGGAGCCCCGGAGGACCCTCCTACTAATAAACAGGTTTTTTCTGAGCCTTGACACTATAATCCAGTAAAAGATGCTCAAAACGAGAGTTATAACAATGTAATATACCATGTTTTCAACACACGAATGTGGACTCACATGACAACACTTCTTTTATGCAATATCAATTTTCGACCCAAATGTTCCACAGCTAGGCTCAACTACAAACTAATATTTAAATAATCTAAAATAATGAAGTAAAGGGTTACTAGAATTCAAATTAAGTTATAGTAATGTAACATGCTGTGGTATTGATTGACATTCCACTGTGAAGGAGCCCCTGATAATAGACAACTAAAATGCATTGGGCACCCAACACTATCTATCCCGCAAGCCTCATGACTCGTTCAACACTGACCTGAACCTTCTTTATTTTCAGTCTGATAAACCAAGGAAACCCAGGAAAAAGAAAGTTAAAGATGAGAATAAACCCAAAAGGGCGCAATCTGCATATATGCTATGGTTGAATGCACATCGTGAAGAAATAAAGACAAAATACCCGGGAATATCGATTACCGACCTGTCAAAGAAGGCCGGAGAGATGTGGCGAAACCTTGATGACAAATCAAAATGGAACAAGATGTACCTGGTCGAAAAAGAGAAATATGATGAAGCAATGATAGTATATAAACGAGAGTTAGCAGAAAAGGGATCTGCCTCCAGTGATGATGAAGAAGATAACAAACCATTAAAGAAAAAGAAGTGAGTTTAGTAACATCATTCTAATAAATGTTTTACACAAAGCCCATAGCTAAGATTTTTTTAGGGGGTTCAAATTTTGTTTTAAAAGGGCACATTTTTTTTTAAATTTTAATTTTTTTTATTAAGAACCAGAAATATATAGCACCTATCAAAATCTGCAGATTATACAAGGCGCTGGAATCATTATTTCCCTGGTCACCGGATACTGAGTCGGCAGACCTGCACATTGTGCAACTTCTCTTCTGTCTGGAGAGTATCCCTGGTCATTGCTGCTTGTACGCGAACGACCCATAGATTCAGGCCATACCATCCTACCAGGTACCCATTTATACTCCTGGGTGGAAAGAAGCAAACGTAAGTAAAGTGCCTTGCCCAAGGACACAAGCAATGCAACGAGCGTTGGTCTCGAACTCCCGATCTCACGATCAGAATTCCAACACCTTACACGCTGCGCAGCACGCCCCATGGGAGTGGATCAGGCCAAATGAGCTTGAGTCCATTTAGGAAACCCTGGTGATCCTGGAGGTCCAAATTTAACACAATATTTCAAAGGTCACAGGTTTCACATTTGAATAAAGGGAAGGAAGAATCAGTAACATACACTTACAACTTTCTTTTATTATACTCATTATACTTAAGACCATGAGATTATTCATTTGCAAGGTTGACATTGTTTTTATTGTTTGTTACACTTACAAGATCTAAGTCAAAGGAGAGTAAGGCAAGTGCTGCTTCATCAGGAAGCCCTATGAAGAAGCCAGGATCAGGAAGTAACTACAAGAGTGCCGAATTTGTTGAATCTTCCTCTGATGACGACGATGATGGAAATGAGGTAGGAATAATCACATTCTGTAATATCTCTTTCCCCAGGCACATAACGTAGGCCTAGTTCAGACTAGGTGGATAAACCCGACTCAACTTACCGGGTTTATCCACCTGCCAGTCTGAACTAGCCGGGCTGTGTTCCTATAGGAACTAGCACTGGCGCACCACCGTGTTTGACTTTCCTAAGCCGGGCTTTAATCGTTGCGGGGGGTCTTGCATTCACTTCAGGTAATGAAATGACCAATCAGTATTCGCTTACGTACGCTGTGAGCGAGTGTACGTTTCGCAAGCAATGTTTTGAAACACGTTTCCTGGTTTACGGTTCATTATTATGCAAATTCTCGTCTGGCTAAACCCGCTAGTTTGAACGCCCTGCAAAGTTAAGCCGGGCTTAATGTTGAGTCTGGCTTAACTCAAGCCTGGCTTATCTCCAAGTCTGAACGTAGCCCAAGATTTTTTAAGGGATATATCCTATGAAAGCCATGGCTCCAAAGGGCTTGCATACAAAAGATGGTACATAGGGATAATTCTAATGGAGTCAGGGGTCAAATCTCACTGGAGCTAATGGGGTGTTTTTTTTATTTTAATGGATGGGCTAGGCGAATACCATGTCAGCCTAACCCTAGAAACACCCCTGTTTACAGTGCTTACCTATTGCCACTGTTGTTGAATATTGTTTCTGTTATGATGATAAATGTATCTATTTAATTCTGGCAATATGTACTGTTGTTTTAGCCTTCATTTAAATGTATGTTATACTGCCCTCTTTGTTTTAATCACTTGGCAATGATAGATACGGAAAAAACAATGGTTAATAAAACATTTTGAAAATATAGATTTTGTGATGTTAGATTAAATTGCTTTTTATCATTTACAAATTTTCTGCATACATAAGTTTTCCATTGAACATAAAATATTTGGAAACCTTTTTTTCTGTAATTTGTCTTCACCTTTATTTTATTTAATTGGAGCATTCTTCATTCAATATATAACTATTCAGTAAAGTTTGGTTTCCATACAATTGCTACATGCTATCACCGACAGCTTTCAGTGATGCTGATTGGTCGGCCTAATTGGGAAGCCTTCCTGATTGCGTCGGGGACGGCTACACAATACAACTTTTGCACTGAAAACACTGTAGACAGTGTAGCACTTGTATGGAAACCAAACTTTATACTTAGTAAGTAAAAGAATAATGAATTGATGATAAAAATATAGGGAAAAAAGACAAGCCAGGTTAATTATTAAAAATTAAACTATATAGCAATAATACAGGTTCATGCTATTGGCTGAGTGGTAAGGCAACCTACAGCCATAATGTTGGTGTTGGTTTCAGAGGAAAGTTCACCCAATTTTCTGGTGGTGGAACAAGTCTTGGAAAAGGACTATAAACTGTAGACCTAGCCTTGTGTGCTCATTAATCAACCCATTACACCATTTGAGTCTGGTAGGAGGATACCCTGTTGTACTGGTCTAGACAGCCATGTTGAGGCAGGGGGGACAGATAAGAGTAGCTAGCACCGATTTACTGGGTACTACGGCACATCAAAGCACATTGAGTTGAGAATTTTGGTATATGCGCTGTATAAAGTTGTACATTTACATTTTAAGGAAGAAGGACAAAACCACAATGTGTTAACACTGCCCTCTGTTGTTCACCTTATTTATTTCTATGTCATACCATATCATATCATTTTTTATCACCAAAAACAAATTTAGAGGTGTACAACAACACACAACACACGGTGACATTATTGTCCAAAGGTGAACTCCCACTCTCAAGGGCTGTCATATTTCGACCAACAATTTCAGAATAGAAGCTAGCCATTGGGAAGAAGGATAATCAGTTTTAGGGGACACCATTTTCAAGAGAATACAAAATATTATTTCCTCCATCCCTAGGTGCGGATTTAGAGGGGTGTCAGGCTGGCCTCATCCCCTTTTTGGAAGGTTAAAAAAAAGGGGGGAAAAAAGAAAGAAAGAAAAAGAGAAAATTTATTGCCCGAAATGCCTCAGAGGTTAAAATTTGCAAGGGCATGACTCTGGATCCCTAGGGTAGTATTACCTCTATCAGCCCCACTTTCAACCCCCGTTTCGGCCCCCACTTTTGGACATCTCTGGATCTGCCCCAGATTCCCCCAAAAGAGTACATATATTCTTTTTTCATTTAATGAAAAAATGGATGACCCCCTTGATAAACAAAAAATTACAAGTTGGCAATGGAATAACTTATAGATATAAAATTAAAAAGAAATGCATTTATTATTTTTTTATTAGTGTTCATTTTCTCAAGTAAGAAATTTATGTATCCATTTGATATTAGTTGCCATGGTGATACAATAGAAGTTAATTGTTTCATTCGAAAAAACAGGTGCTAGACATCTACCTATAAAATTGCAGACAAAGCAGTGACCCTCAACTTAAAGCATTGCCTCCTTCAGTTCATTATGGTATGCATCATTGAGCAAAGTAACTTGCTGGAATATCGTATGATGCTAACCTTTCTTGAGATAACGGGTGGTGTGATCAGTATTTTTAATTTAATGGATGTCAAATTTAAAGTGATGGTTTTCAATGACTCAAGTTATTAGTTGAATTTCTATTGCTGGCTCAGTCCCTAGAAAATGTTGTTTTTTTAATTTGAGATTTTTATCTCACCATCTGGCTTGTGTATACATTCGTTTAAGTTATCTTTTTTTGTTGTTGATTTCCGCATCTGCTGACAGTGATAACCTAAACAGCAGTAATATATTGATATCATGATAAACATATCAATTATTTAGTGGTATCAGAATAACATTGATTAGATTTTTTAAACATAGTTCTACGTCACTATTATTTAAATAGAATAAATATACCGTAGATTATGATGATAATGAGAATTTTGATTGTGATGATATTTAAACATTAAATATACACAAGTCATACTGGATATGATGTAACAATGTGCACTTGCAAAGGTAGCAGTCCAAAACCATCTTAAAAACATGTCTAGAATGTTTAAATTAAAAACAAAATGCTTCTTCTCTTCCCTTTATGGACCAACCTCATATTTGAAGGCTTTGACTTAGTAGGCCAGTATTTTCAGGAAAGTACTGTATCAGTTTGTAAATCCACTATTTATAATATTTTAAAGTTTTGATTAAATTTAAATTTGAAACCAACCTTATATTACAGTTATAATTGTAATAATATATAATTTGTAGTATATAATTTATACTTAAATTGGGATGATGATGGAATTGATGATAATTATAATAAATATTATGATGTAGACATTCAGCTATCAGCTAATCTATGTGTGCAATTTACAGTAATTTACATATGAATAAAATATAATAGAAATTAAAGTTATAAACAACATTATGATGATATAGGTACAATATAGTGCTACGGTCTCTCAGTTTAATGGCTGATAGACACATACTGTAGGCCAAGGCAGATATATCACCAGTGCAGGCTTCTGTTACTGTACGCTTGCGTAATACCCTCTCGCCCACAAGCATAGGCTCAAAGATCAATTCATTCAGTTGACCGTTAAGAGAATGCAGCCAGGGAAATTGTTTAATCTCAAGATTGTTAATAAACTGAAAATGCGCATAGTGATTATAGCGCATAGTGATTATATAGCATCTAGACTTTGTAGGTGAATTAGCATCTTGGGATATGTGTCATTAGTACTGTTGCGTAATATACCAACTTGTTAAAATCAATACTCTGCAGAGAACACTCCATCATTTACATCATAGAATGATGGTCACATGATAGAATAGTGATCACATGATGGTCACGTGATACAGCAGGTATTTTTCTACCTGTCCTCATGTCACATAATCCTGTCTTCATTTAGATAGAACAGCTGCAATATCGTAATATTGTGGCAGTCTTCACTTTTGTCAAATATTCAATGCTAATTTTCTTCATGATATCATAATTCCCTGGTTGTCGTTTTCCAACCCACTCTGTCCCCCACTAAGTTTAACTATTATATATATTTTTTTATTATAAATCTTTGATACGCATTATTGTATTTTATGTTTTTAACCCTTTCACTGCTGCAGGTAAATACATCCTTTTTTTTTTTTTTATAAAAAAATGGAATTTTGAAATAAATTCCAAAAAAAATTCTAAAAGAGGTTATTTTGAAATTACTTTTGCGTGGTTTGATGGGCAAGAGGTTGACCTATGGGGTGAAAATTGAAATTTGGTATTTTTCACAATTAGGTGGTCATGTGACCTGGTGGCCATATTGAATTTTCCTTTTTTCATAATTTCTGTGAAAAAATCTACTTTTTCTCCAAGAAAATCTTATGGGTTGCTATTTTTTAACTGGATAATGATGAAGATACATAAAATGTATAAAAACATACATAGCTTGAATGATTTTCATCATTTTTTTCAAAAACAGACCCAAATCAATGTTTGTTGGTAGAATCGTAAAAAAACATGAAATTTAAAAAAAAACACTGTAAAATGTGTTTTTTGTAACAATTAGTCCTTTATACCCCATATAATTCATTTTGTAAATAATTGTAACAAAAATGATTATCTTACATGCAATAAAACTCCTTGACTGCAATAAAACTGCTTGATTGCAAAAAAAATCACCCACATCATCGTCAGATTACCACTAAAATCTATAGACATAGCCTGTGTAGGGCCCCTAAGTGGAGCAAATTATCGGTCTTGTCCATGGAATCACTGACGGCATTACCATAATCAACTTTTGAAACGAATTACATGAATCGTTTAAATCAAAGTTGTCCTTGCTGTCTGTATCACCAAAGATCTGGTCCGTAACTTTTTTGAGATTTTATCGCCTGTTGTGAGGCTGTTTTCCCACCATTTTACAGCCTATACCACTGATAAACACCATTTTCTCGTGGAAATCATTGCTAGTTCATAGAAAAAAAACTACAGAGGGCGCATGCACTCCAAGCTAATTTTAAAAATATTATTTGCAAGTGCCCGGTACTACCGAGGATGCGCAATTCAACATTTTTTCTA